GAAAACCAGAAGTAAAAAAAATCTGAAAAGCATCAAATATTCAATAAAATACAGTTATAAGGATATACTAAGCCAAAAATTTAAGGGAAAGGCCCATGGGGCCCTGAAGCCACTTTTGCTCTGAGGGTATTTGCTGATGTGAACAAACTTGGATTTCCTATTTGTAGCCTTACTGGGACAAGCAGGCAGAAGTCAAGGTCAAAGCCTGTCCACGGTGAATCTAATAGGAGGTGGGATCCCACCGAACTACAAGCTCAGGTAAGGCTGACCCAGAACACTGCAGAGAAGATGTTTTAGATGCTGAGGGAGCGACTTTCCTGGTGGTGCAGTGGTTAAGAATCCTTTGCCTGCCAATGCAGGGGACATGGGTTCAAGCCCTGATCTGGGAAGATCCCACATGCCACGGAGCAACTAAGCCTGTGCCAGCTACTGAGCCTGCGCTCTAGAGCCCGCGTGCCACAACTACTGAAGCCTGCGTGCCTAGAGCCCGTGCTCTGCGACGAGAGAAGCCACTGCAATGAGAAGCCCGCGCACCGCAACAAAGAGTAGCCCTCGCTTGCTGCAACTAGAGAAAGCCCGCATGCAGTAACGAAGACCCAACGCAGCCAAAAATAAAATAAATCAAATAAATAAATTTTTAAAAAGATTTATTGAACTAAAGCTAGGTTTGAAGTAGCACAGAGACCAAAAAAAGAAAAAAAGAAAGAAAATAGGAAGCAAGGTTATGGAGGATAGAGTGAGGAAGTCTAACACATTCAACTGGCGTTCTAGAATCAGAAGAGAGAACGGTGCAATGATAATATTTAAGGACACGATGATTGCAAATTCCAGACTGGTAAAAAGACCGGTTTGCCCAGTGAGTCATAGGCAGGATAAATAAAAAGAAATGAATACCTAGACACATGCAGTCAAAGTGTCCAGCTGTGATCTTCAGCAATTGACTTCTCTGAAGCTCAGTTTCTTAATCTGAAAAATGAGAATACTGACAGTTCCTCAAAAGACTGACATGTGAGCTCTTGCATCTAGAATGTTCAACAGTTGTGCTCACCAAAGACACCTCATGGCCTCTTCATAGTGTGAAGCTGGGGGAGCCTAAGTTTGGGGGACAGATGGGAGCTGGGGGAAATATCACTTTGCCAAGCATCAGCAGCCTCATCTGTAAAATGGGGCTCATGATCCTTACCCTGGATTCAAGTGGAAAATGTGCCCAGGCCCCTTGCCCAGAACCTGGCGTGTAGTACACTCAGCACGATGACCTGCAGGGAGGCAAGGGGCCAAGGGCGTCACTGAACACACTGCTTCCCCTAACATGGAGGTGATGGTTTCACCTACTTCTGGGATGGCTGTGAGGCTAAGGGGACGTGCTGCACTTTTAAGTGCTTGGCACCATGCCTGCCACACAAGAAATGAACAAACAGGAACTAACTTTGTGATTTGAGACCCTCCTGCCACCCTGGCTGTTGATATCTGTCAATTTCCTTTCTGAACTCAACTTCTGCCAATTCCACCTCTAAGAGGCTGCTAGTCCCCATCCCCCAAACCTCACTCAGACTTGCAGCCAGTTAAAAGCCTCAGGAGGAGCAACTTTTGACCAACAAACTGTTGGTCCAGCACAGGTGATTTTTGGAAGGGAGGTAGGACATGGGGATAGGAGCACAGCTGTGGGTGAGAATCTGGGCTCTGTTAATAACTGGTTCGTAATTCTCAGCCCTGGCCACCTCATTTGCAAAATGAGAACCAAAATTGTCCCTCAGCCCTTGAGTTCTCTCGAGTCCTCGCCAGCCTTGAGTTGGCTTGCGAGGCTGCTGTTTATCTTCACTCTTTAACCCTGCATCCTGGCCTGGCATCCCTGTGGCCTACCAGGCCTCCATCAAAGTCACGAAATCAGTAGGTACAGAGCCCAACATGGGACTTCCTGTCTGGGTGCCCTTTAGCTTTGCTAAGGAGCTGTGAATGAACCAAACTTGTATCCTTAAGGACAGCATGTCCCAAAGTTTGCTGATCGTGAGACTTCCTCAGGTGCTTGTTACAGAGTCCCAGAGCCTCCCTGAAGTTCTGATTCAGTAGGTGGGACCTGGGAGTCTGCATTTTATTTATTTATTTGCCTCACTGCGCTGCTTGCGGGATCTTAGTTCCCTGACCAGGGGTTGAACCTGGGCCCCGGCAGTGAGAGTGCCGAGGCCTAACCACTGGACCACCAGGGAATTCCCCCCGCATTTTTAAATAAGCACCCCAGTTGAGTCTGAAAATTAGGGCTGGGAAATAATTTCTTGGGTCATCACTAGAGTTTGCAGTTACACACACCACCTCCCACTCCTGTACCCACAGCCAAAAGGGAAAGGATGGTTTGGTGTAACTAGTTGACCCATTTCTACCATAAGTACACTCAAACTATCAAAACCCAGTGTTTCCCAAAGTATCTTTTGAGGTACCATGGTTCTGTGAGGTGCTTCCCAATAAAGGGGTTCCGTGGTGAAATACTTTGGGGGAACATTGCATTCTTTTTCTTGAAAATTCACATTGCGCAAATGAACTCATTTAATGTTGTCTCACCCCACTTTGGTCCCCCTTTTCATGCAACACCTATGTATGCTAGTTCTACAGGACATATTTTGCAGAAACACTGGTTTATTGGCCATTGGATCTGGCACAATCTGGAGTTTCCAAGTATTGGCTTCCATCTCCTCTGTTGCCTGCTTACGAGCACATCTGTGGGCTCCCCATGGCACATCCATGTGGGAGTTGGGTTTGGACTGATGCGGTAGCAAGGCTGCCATTCTGGAGAAGGAACTGCCACAAAAACATAAGCCACAGAGAATTCATTTGGTCAGGGGTATTGCTGGTCCAGATGCCATTTGCTGACTAAAATGGAGAACGGCATTTGGCCCCTGCAGACCTGCAGCCCAAGTGTTTCCCTCAGGGCAGCAGCCAATCTCTTATTCCTTTGGCTCTCACACCACAGTGGTCTGTCTCTTCCATGTCTTTGAAGAGTGGCAGCTTGAGATAAAGAAAGAGGGTCTTCCAGTCAGAGCACAAGCAGAGCCAAAGGTGTTAAAAAAGAACAAGCCAGCACACCGCAAGCAGGCCTGGCCTGAGCTCCTCGGTTCCAGGTGCCCTCGTCACATCTGCTGCTGGCTGCTTCTCCCTCAGAGTCTGCCAGGCAGGCTATAGCCCCAGGTATTCAGCCAGGAACACGGCCAGGATGCGGCTCAGGTTGTGTACCGTGGGTGGGTGCAGGTTGGCCTCAGAGTCATCGGACGTGTGCCAGACAGAGGGGAAGGGTGTGGAGATGAGGTGGAGCACGGGGACCCCTGCAGGACAGAGAGGAGGCTCAGGTTTGTGCGTGGCCCCCAACTGACCCAGGAGCCCAGGCCCACGTCTGGGGAACCTTGCCTTGTCCCCACCAGCAGAAGATACTCTGTTGTGGCACTTGAAGAATTCTGAACAATGATTTTCAGTGTGTGAGGGTACATGTCCGTTTTAAAAATACATCCAGTATATTATTTTCATAACGCAAATTAGAAAAACTCAAAACTTAACGGATTATGGAAAGACAGAAGAAGGGAATGAGGTCGTTGACCTTCCTCACCAGGTGTACATTATTAGGCTCTTTTTCTCTTCTTTACTGATAGTTAACGTTTATGTTCTATTCCAGGCCCAAGTCTAAGGCCATAAGCACACACAATTTTATCCTTACAATGATCATGTAAGGTGTACTATAATACCCCTGTTTTACAGATGTAGACACTGAGACTCAGAGGCAGGCAGAGTGACTTGCCTAAGGTCTCGCCTCTAGTAAAGAGCACAGTCAGAATTTGAACCCAGGCCACATGTCTCCAGAGTGTGTGCTCCTAACCCTTGCACTGCAATGGGTTCCTGTCCTCAGAGTGTTTCACTCTTTGTTTGTCCAGATTTGGTAAATATCTGTCCCCCTGCTAGACAGGAGCCAGGTTGATTATGGCCCGTCACTGTATCCCTGACAGCTAGCTCAGTACCTGCCTTGGGAAGTATTCAGTGAATGAATCAATAAAGGCATTGTAAGAAATGCATATTTGTTGAATGAGTAAATTATAGAATAAAAATTTAAAAAGCAGTTTTTAGCACTTACTGTATATGCCAAGCACCGTGTAAGAAGGCATTTTATATATCTAATCTCATCTAATCCTCCCAACCCTGTGATTAAGAATACATAACATAAATTTGGTGTAGCCACTATGGAAAACAGCATGAAGGTTCCTCAAAAAATTAAAAATAAAACTGCCATATGAAAAAAAAAAAGAATACATACATACGTATGTGTTTGTATGTATCTATCTCTTCCTTTTCCAGAAGAAATGGGGCCACAGAGAGGCTCAGTAATTTGCCTTAGGTCAACCAATGGTAAGTTGTAGATCCTAGAACCCAGACCTATCCAATTCTAAAACCTATGTTTTGAACCCCTCTACCAGATGTCGTCAACCCTGGCTGTGCATCAGAATCACCTGGGAGTTTTGTAAAAATAATGTAGAGGCCTCAGATTGTGGTTCAGTAGGCCTGAAATGTGACTGGGCATTTTTCAAAGCTCAGGTGATTATGCTGGGTGGCCAAGGGCTTGAGAGGCAAGAACTAGAAGGAACTGCAATCACTGAGGCACAACCAGTAATAGCTAACATTTCTTGAACACTCGCTAGTGCCAGGCACTGGTCCAAGGTCTTTACATTCAATCCCCTCAACAACTCTGAGATGGGGGCTGTTATCATCCCCATCCTTACAGATGAGGAAATCAAGGCACAAAGAGGTTAAGCAGTTTGCCACCAGTCCCCTAATCTGGGAAGAGGCCAGGGCCAGGTCGTATCTGTGGCTCCCTGGGACCCCTGCCCACCACTCCTCCCCACAGCAAGTACCTCGGCGGAGGAAGGGGATGTGGTCGTCTTCCACAGAGCCAGGGGGCTCCCCGGGCTGGAAGTACATCACTTCCCAAGGATGAGACTGCAGTAGGTTCAGACGGTGCAGGCGCTTCTCTGGAGGCGGTGGGGATTAGAGAGCAAGGGTCAGCCCCTCAACGGTCAAAGTTCCCCTGCTCATAAATCAGAGGAGGGAAGGGGGTCTGGGGGTGAAGCACTGATCGTCCCAACAAGGATGAATGTTAGTTACCCCTTACCGCAGGCCGACTATGTTCCCAGTCTCAATTAATCCCTCTGAGTCTAAGGAGGTAGATACCCCTATTATTACCATCATGCCCATTTTACAGACAGGAAATTGAGGCTCAGAGAGAGGAAGCCACTTGCCCAAGCTCACACAACTGGTAAGAAAGAGAGCCAGAGTTTGAACCCAGGGCTATCTGACCCCAGAGCCCCCGTTTGTAATCACTTCATTTGACTGCTGTGGGGTCTTTTTGTGTTTCTGCCCTAGTGCTTTAGAGAGAGACTAGGGAGGTAGAGGGAAGGCTGGATGACCCCTTAGAGGACAGGTGCCTGGCCTCCCTCCAGCGTCCCAGGTGGGTGCCTGTCTCCTTACCGATGCTCCTCAGCCGATGGAACCAGCGGGCCGTGCGAGGAAAGTGACTGTAGAAGGTCGGGTTGGGGGCTCCCAGGAGATCAAGAAGCATAAAGAGATCCTAGGGAGAGAGGCCAGGACTGGAGAGGCCAGGCGGGATGCTACCAGCCTCGTGTCACCTGCTTCCCACCTCACCGGAACCCAGTGGGGCCTGGTCTTACAATAGCCTGGATCCTGGTGAAGCTGGGGCCATGGGGTGCAGACTCCATGAGCTGGGCCAGGTGCCGGGAGCCGTAAAGTGAGTCCTTGGGTCCCCACTCCTTCAGTGCCTCTTCACCATCCAAGAAGAGCAGCTGCAAGGTCACTGGGGCTGCCTGTGAGGGCCAGTGGTCAGGGCCAGCGCAGTGCCAGCCCTCAGCCTCAGTGTACACACATTTCCTGCCTGCTTGCACAGCTGACGAGGGCAAACTAAGTCTCCTCACTTGAAGAGCACAGTGGCCAAGAGTGCAGACTTGGAGCCAGACTGCCTGCGTTCCAATCCTGGCTGGGCTGCTCAGTAGCCAAGCAGTCGTGGGTAAGTTACTAAGTTCTCAAAGCACCGGCTTCCTTATGTAGAAATGGGGTTAATATCAGGCCTCATGATAGGGTAGGATTCGAACCCAGGTCCTAGGACAGTGCCTGGCACATAGTAACTAAACTAGGGTTAGCTCTGATTGTAATTGTTATTCCTCAAGTTCATGTAGCAAAAGAGACAGACCCACAAATAAATAATTATACAAACAATGAAATGCAGTCGGGCAAATGCTTCCAAGAACAGCAGCATCCTGATCTGGCCTAGGGAACATGTCAGGTCTATCGGAAAGGGATGTTTGCACTGAGGCTGAGTAGGAGCTGGCCTGGCAAAACGGAGCAGAGGGAAGAGTGTTCCCCGGTGAGGAAGCAACATGAATCAGGACTGGGGCCAAATAAGGGGCCAAAGAGGTTTGAGTAGAGGCCCAAGGGGTCAGCAAGGGCCAGGGAGCTTGGGCTTTGTTACAGGGGCACTGGGGTTTGAGCCATGGAAGGGATCTGAGCAGGGGAGGAGTGTGAGATCTGTGTTTCCGTTCATTCATTCCATACATTTAAAAAAAAATTTTTTCCCATAGGGTTGATGTTTTTCTTTTTGTTGTTGTTGTTTTAGCATGTGGGCTCTTAGTTCCCCAACCAGGGATCGAACCCATGCCCCTGCATTGGAAGTGCAGAGTCCTAACCAATGGACCACCAGGGAAGTCCCTCCATACATTTTTATTGACATCCTACTTTATGCCAGGCAATATTCTCAGCCCAGAGGATACAGCAGGAAATAAATGCAGCCAAGGGCCTGGCTATCTGGAGCTTATTCTAGTTGGGGAGACATAAACAAATCAACATAAAGCACCATGAGGCATGGGAGAGTGACAGGGAGCTATTTTAGGGTGGCTGGGAAGGTCTCTTTGAGGAGGTGACATCAAAGTGGACATCTGAATGAAGGGTGGCAGCCAGCCAGGAATATATATGAGAAAATCACATTCTAGGCAGAGCAAAGAGCAAGTGCAAATGCCTGGGGTGGGAGTGAATTGTGTGGCTTGAGGTACACGGAGGAGGTGGGAGGCTATAGTGGAGTGAGTGAGGGGGGAGAGGTGGGAGGGGAGACCAGAGAGGTGAGAGGGCACACCTCGTGAGCTAAGAGAAGGGCTCTGGCTTACTTGTGGAACAAGGTGAGAGCTGTGGGAGAGAAGGGACAGGATCTGACATTCAGGAAATGGAAAGACCCTGTGGCTGTGTTGTGGAGTGGAGGAAGGCAAGACCAAGCACGGGATGGTGTTGGTATGGACCAAGGTAGAGGCAGTCCCCACCCACCCACCCCCCCCCTACCCCGGCTCCTCACCTGCTCCTTGGCTCTAGCCAGCTCCAGGTCCAAGGCCTGGGCCAGCTCCAGTAGGAGGGCACAAGGCACAGCCGAATCCGTGGCCCCCACAAAGGGGGCTGACCCAGATGGGAAGAGCTTCGAGTCGTAATGGCAGGCAAGGGTGAGGTGACGGGCAGCCCTTGGGTCCAGCGTGGCCACCACATTGCTGAAGTGCAGTGGCCCCAGGGGTGTCGAGGCTGTGAAGGGGTCCAGTTCTACATGCCAGCCTGCCGTCAGGGTCCGCAGTGTGGCCTCCAGGAACTAGTGGCAAGAGAGAGGTGGGAGAGTGGGTGGGGACTGGGGAGAAGGTCGGAAGAAGGGCCATGTGACCTGAACCATGCCGAGCAGTCAGGTTGACTCACAAATCTGACTTTGGTTTAATCGTTCCCTTGATACACTTCTGTTGAGTACCTACTAAGTGCCAGGCGTGGAGTGACCCTGTCTCTTGATGCCAAGACTAATCACAGCTCACCCTTCCATAGCACACACTCTGTGCCAAGCCCTTGTTCTAGGAGCCCTGTGGAGTGGGGACTGTCAATGGTTCCATTTTGCAGATGAGGCAACTGAGGCACAGAGAAGTTAAGAAACTAGTTCAAGGTCACACTCCAAGTGGCTGATGTGGAATTGAACTCAGGCAGTGTTCAAATAACTCTCAATACTTTCTTTTTTTTTTATACATATATACATATATATATATATATATTTTTTTTTTTTTTTTTTTTTTTGGTACCCGGGCCCCCACTGTTGTGGCCTCTCCCATTGCAGAGCACAGGCTCTGGACACGCAGTCTCAGCAGCCATGGCTCACGGGCCCAGCCGCTCCGTGGCATGTGGGATCTTCCCGGACCG